ATATATTTAATTTCAATAGTCCATCATAATTTTCCAAGCTTTTCTGATTTATTTAATATTAATTGTGTTAGTTCAATACGTATATGATATACGTATTATGAGTAAGTATCGGTTAAAAGTAAATATGTATATTATATATATATATATGTATGTATGTATATACGATTCATGAATTCCACTTATGTGATTTCTCGATTTCTCTTATATATGAAGAAAGTGTTTTGTTTCTTTTTTTTTCTCTGCGAATATAATCCTGTGTCATGTTCGATCACGAGAGGATTGAGTCTGCTCGGCGCCCCGTCAAAAACGGGTCTCAGCAATTAAAGACTGACCAAGACCTGCATTACACTAAAAACTCTTGTAAGATCACTGCATTAAATATATTTGTACATACCACGTCTAGATGTAACTTTAACAAAGAGAGGAGAAGAAATTTATGCAGAATAAATTATATTTACCTTAGAAACACCCGGCCTCTCTTCTTTTACGTCAACCATCCGTCTTACGTCACGTCTACCTACGCAATCTCTTCGCCTGCATACACATTTGGATCAACCAGAGACGTAGAAAAGAAGATATTCCACTTCTCATCATTTTAACTACGCAATCGCGATCTAATAATAATTATTTTCCATTTTTCACGAAATTATAAAGGTAATAATCAAGGAAAAAGTAAAGAGACTTGGAGATGCGATTAAAGATTTTTTTTTATTACATCAACGTAATACTGGCTAAGGGTCAAAACAATGTCATAGAACGCGTCTATGGTCAGCAGGAGGGACAGCGCCGAGATCAACATGAGCGATTCGCGACGGATGTCTCGTCCTCTTTAAGGAGACGAGATCGTTCTTCCTCCTCGAGAGGGGGAGGCAGCCGGCAACTCGCCGACGACAAGAGAGGGAGCATAGTCTAATGATCCCCATATAACTATAGATAAATATCTTATAAGTATAATAAAACTAATCGTACAGAGAGCGAGGCAACCAAGTCTCGGAACAAATCAGCCTTAATGAACCCTTCGAAAAGAATCGAGAGAAGTCTTGCTGGGTATGCGAGCCAGCGGCGCTCGCCTCGACGTCGCCGATCACGACGCGGTTAAGTACTCGTCGTTGCTCCGTCTCCCGTAGAGACGAGACATCCGACGAGGAGAAGGCAATGCACCCGCTGTCTCGCTCGTTCCTCTCGCGAGAGTAGGGGAGAGGATCCCGAGCGCGGCTGTCTCCGCAACCACCCCGTGGTTGTTGCTGATGCTCGGTGTTGTATCAATTGAAAAACCTAACTACACAGAGTCCAAGGGAACTGAGTACCTGGTAAATACCGGACACATATCGTCAATATCGAGTAATTAAGAGAAACGCGGTAAGACGCGGGGCAACGCTCCTCCTAGCATATGTGAGGTGTGCGCGGGGCATGGGTGAACTGAATGTGCAGGTTCGGATAGATGCGCGGGTTTAACACTACCGGATAATGTAACGGGGGTAAGCACAACATCTTATGACTTTTGGTATTAGTCGACGAGTACGAGTCGAGCGGGGCAGCCACCGCGGTGGCATGCTGCATCCTGACGGTGGGTCCTTGCTGCTGCACGGGGATGCCTGCTGCCACAGGGCATCTGCCGGCGGACTGCGTGCTTCCGAGGAAGCTTGATGGTTACTTTTTCTTCTGGGCTTTTTCCGCGGCCTTTGTTACCTTGCCCTGGGTATCTTTGAAAGTGACGCTCTGCGAAGAAACGTAACAATCGTTAAATTATATACATAACTGTATGAATTTATGTATTTTTTTTTTTTTTTTTGGAAACAATTAGTATTCTGTAGTCTAGATATTAAATTCGAGAACAAGAAAATTTGATATTATTTTTAAAATAATATTATGTTTTTTACGATTTAAATTATTTCGAGATATACAAAGTCAATAAGAAGTTTTCATGAATTTAATGAAAATGTTGTACAAACATTAAAAATTGCGAATGTTACACAGATATAAAATTATGAAAAACAATTTTGTTATGATAATTTGCATAAAGTAAATGTTTTCCGTATGAGCTTGGACAGTTACCAACCGCAACTTTGAAATAAATAGAATGTACAAACAATAAGAGAGAGATTTTGGTAAATGAGTAAGTATATGTGCTGCTTCACTAATATTTTTGAAATATATATTTTATTTCAGCATGTAGAAACTGAATCTGCTCGGAAAAAATTATCACTCTTTTATTTATATTATTATTTATACTATTTGATATAGTTAATTAATAAAAATAATATAATATAATATTCGATAAGCGAATCCTTAACAAACTCTGCTTTATTTTTGCAGGTTACATAAATTATTTCTTGCTTTAGCACTTGTAATTATACAAACAAAGAATCACTCTTTTATAAATTTTAATAGAGAATAATCTTCGTATCTTATAATTAATGAAATGAAGAAACCCTTGTTCTTGAACATTACTATAAAAAAGTGTGATAAGAGAGCAGATTTACTTTTGCCTTCAAATACATGAATAAAAAAAATTGGTAAGGTAGCCTCTGTTTGAACATTCATCAAAAATTTGTTATCGCTTTGTCGTAATGAAGCAATTTATGAAATAGCAAGTATAATATAATTGATTGACTCAAAAATATTTTGTTTCGCTAAAGATTTTTCTTCGCAAAGATTTCAAGAATAAATTATGATGGGCTTTATTTTAGATATTTAATAAAAAAGCGGTTATCTGTCAAGCAAATGAAATAGGTTCTTTCGTTGTCGATTCTCTTATTCCGCATAAGATAAGAAATTTTCAGTGAAAAGATATTATTCCATTGTGATAAAAACAAAAACCAAAACCAGATTAAATCCTAAGATAACTGAATAATTTAAAAAAAAAATGAAAATTCAAACAATAAGAAGATATTCTTTATATTTGAAGTCGCGTTCTCAGTCCGCTTTTACCTTAAACCTTTCGAAGTAATTCCTCGTACCTTAATGACACCCACTGCGACGGTTTGACGCATGTCGCGGACCGCGAAGCGACCCAGGGGTGGAAACTCCTGGAAGGACTCGACGCACATCGGTTTGGTCGGCTGCAACATTACTATTGCAGCATCGCCGCTTTTTATACCCTTTGGATTCTCCTCGGTAGTCTTGCCGGTACGACGGTCGCATTTTTCCTTGATTTCAGCAAACTTGCAGGCGATGTGAGCAGTGTGGCAGTCAAGCACTGGCGTGTAGCCATTGCTGATCTGTCCCGGGTGATTCAGGACGATTACTTGGGCGGTGAAGTCGGCGGCACCGCGCGGCGGTTGATTTTTGGAATCGCCAGCGACGTAACCGCGTCTCAATTCCTTCACGGAAATGTTCTTCACGTTGAAGCCAACGTTATCACCGGGCAGAGCTTCCGTCAACGCCTCATGATGCATTTCGACGGATTTCACCTCGGTGGTGAGAGCCGCCGGCGCGAAAGTTACCAGCATACCTTAAAATTGTAAGTTTATGTTTATTTATAAGAATCTATACGTTAGTCCGATAAATGTCACAATAAAGATAATTAACTCTCCACTGGCAATGTTGAACTTTAAAAGCATAGTCGATTTTTTTAACTGTGAATTCTGGTAGATAAATTTAAATCTGTAAAGAAATAAGTAAAATACAATTAAACTTCTATGATAATAAAAACTTGTTATTAAAGTTTTTACAAGTATGTAAGAATTCTTTTAGATTTTTATACAATCTGGAACAACATAAA